TCTGTCAAACTTTCATATCGAATCAAAACAAACATTGTGTAGTACTAGAATCTCGACTAGAATGGGGTACGTTAATCGTTTGCTTGGGCCCAATAGGCTAGTCAAGTAGTGAGCCAATTTAAAATCGTTAGTTTCGTATTGATTGTTGGTAGTACCGCCACTTGTGGCGCGCATAATCGATTCCCGCGCCGGAGATGAACCAGCGTCTGGCTGAAAATCTCCTTAATAAAGACAACCAACCAATCAACCAACCTAATCGATTCCCTCGTGTTTGACGTTTACACACTACAGTCATCTGTTGAGTGTATACAACAGATAGCGGTAGTGTTTACAATGAGAAATGTTCAATGTGTTGTGTGTGTTTGTTTGTTTGCAGTAACTGTCGTGACTGGACCGAAGTTTCCAGCCTGAGTCGTGGTTCCACGAATCTGCTGCTCCCTCTGTTGGTCCACTACCCCTTTTGCTGGTGGTCCTTTGCTTGTCATCCGCTCTCTCCACAGTCCGTCATAAGAATGCCGTCAACGAGCTTAGGTACCTCATATTTATACCTCTAGCTGTATCAAAATTTCCAAACCAATCAGATTCCGTTTACATACGGTCTATCACGCTTCACACTCACTAGATTTTACTCATTTCTATTCCACACTAACTCTATCTACTACATTCTTCTCTTTTCCTACTCTCCTTAAGCCTGGTACGCAGCTGAAAAGAAAACGGAAAAGTAATTTTTGAGGATTTTTCCCAAAAGAAAATTTGACAGCTATAGTCTGCTAAATTTTGAGATTATAGGGAGATGTCGTCAAATTGTAAAATCAACACTTATTAGTGTTTATGTTGTTTAAATGCATCCAAAACATCATTTTTACAACAAACGTTAAAATTACCTAACGGAATAATTGGTAAGACCATTATTCCGCAAGCAAAATGAAATTGCATTCAGAATGCGCCACCTTCATGTCGATCACGATACTAATGTAATCGATCTTTCCTTTACCGATTTCTTTTGAACTGCGTACTGGGTCAAGAAATGCTGAGGAAAAGTAATTTCTTTTGCATTCCGTGTCCTATGCGGTAGCACATAAAAACGTCATTACTTTTCAGCTGCGTACCAGGCTTTAATTGAGGATCGGGGGCAATTTATCAACACTCTCGGGGCATTTTATCAACCCTATTGGGGGAATTTCTTCTACCCTCTTGGAGGAATGTCTCCTACATTCTCGGAGGAATTTTATTCTACCTTCTCGGAGGAATTTCTTCTACCTCCTGAGAGGAATTTCTTCTACCTTCTCGGAAGAATTTCTTCACCTTTTCGGAGGAATTTCATCTACCCTCTCGGGGGAATTTCTTCTACTCTCTCGGGGGAATTTCTTCTACCTTTTCAGAGCAATTTCTTCTACCCTCTCAGGGGAATTCCAATTGCCCTCTCAGGGAGCACTAGTAGCATCCTCGCAAGAAAGAGGATGGTTCTCACTTAACGAGTTGTACCATTATCGTGACTGGATCGAGGTTTCCAGCCTCGGTCGCGGTTCCACACTTATTTGCACCAAAGTTTCAAGAAACACAAGGATTTATGGAACTCTTGTTCAACAAACACAACACATGTTATATTTGTTTCTCAAGTGTTTCATACAATATCATATAACTCCTCCCATTTGATCCATTATTTCACAGGTTATCCTAGCAGTTCATTGAAACTGTTCTGTTTCATTATTGAGACCTAGAGCAAATCAAGCAACAAACTTGAAACAGTTTCGTATCAAGGTGTATTTCTTGTACCATTTAAGGGTTGTCAAGTCACAAATGACCCATAAGCGTTGAAGTAACTACAATTAAAAATAAATAGTGAAATTTCTGAGCAACTTAAATAAAAAAAATAATAATTAACGATGTTTTCTGTGTTGCTAGGGGGCCTGACTTTCGGCGTTGAGCAGAACAGTGAAAGTTTCACGGAAGTACTCTACGAAGCTGCAACAGTATCTATCTCAAGGAACGAGGATACCAAATGTGCGGTGAAAGCGCGACGCAAAGCTGTACGCCGGCTAAGCGGCTCGCCTTAGACGACCCTGGGAGGGAGGAAGCGCTGAAGTTTTACCGAGAACGCCATCTCTCGTGCAGACAGGTGATCCGTAACGCAAAGCGATCTAGCTGGATGGATTTCTTGGATTCAATCGACGAATCCCAATCGTCGAGTGAATTGGGGAATCGCGTCAACGCTCTGAGTGGCAAGCGGCAGTCTACTCCACCTACTATCCAAGCTCATGGCACCTCGATCTCAGAACCGCAGGACGTCACCGACGAATTAGGAAAATATTTTGCCGGCCTGTCTGCTGTCAGTGGCTACGACAGCGATTTCGTCCAGCACGTCAAACCTTCCACAAGCAGCATTCGCGACTTGCGAATTCCACCCGATGTTCCTGCTCTTCAGATCAACGAAGCTCTTACATTCCGGGAGCTCCAATTTGCCCTCGGCAGCAGTAGTGGTAAATCTGCCGGCCCAGACGGTATTAAAAAACCTCTCCCTCGACGAAAAAACAAGGCTACTTGCCCTCTTCAACGATCTATGGCTCACTGACTCGTATCCAGACCTCTGGAAACAAAGCTTGGTTGTGCCCATTCCGAAGAATAACACGGCGAGTGAAGAAGCCTCCTCCTTTAGGCCGATTGCGCTCACTTGCTGCGCAGCAAAAGTGATGGAGATACTGGTAAATCGTCGTCTTAAGCAGTTCCTGGAGTCAAACGGCCTCCTTGACGAACGGCAGCATGCGTTCCGGCAAGGACAAGGCTCTTCCACTTACTTTGCAGCCCTCGGGAATGTACTTAAGGAAGCAGAGGACAACGGGCACCATGCGGAGTTAGTCTCCCTTGAAATTTCAAAGGCGTTCAACAGGACATGGACACCTGGTGTCATCAGGCAGCTCATCGGCTGGGGCCTGGAAGGTCACATCACACATTTTGTACGGAATTTCCTCCTTGATCGTACCTTCCAGGTGACCGTCGGGAACACTCGCTCGGATCCGTTCCTCGAAGAAACTGGAGTGCCCCAGGGGTCCGTGATAGCGGTAACGCTATTCCTGGTGGCAATGAACGGGGTATTCAGCCGATTGCCCAAGAACGTACACGTAATCGTGTATATCGACGACATACTCATCGTCGTAACGGGACGAACGACTAAGCGGGCCAGTAACATAGCTCAAGCAGCAGTCTGCGCCGTCAGCAGGTGGGCGCTTTCGGTTGGTTTCCAGCTCTCCGCTCCGAAGAGTGTACGGTGCCATATCTGTCACTCGGGCCATCTGATTCGAGGACCACCGATCACCATCCAAGATCACCCGATTCCGCTCAAGAAAACAGTACGTGTTCTGGTGGTAGTACTGGATCGCACCCTAAGCTTCAACCAGCAATCTCCCGCCCACATCGCTCCAGCAACCATGAGATCCGCCTTCGTGTCGCTCGGGCTGTTATCAACAGTCGACTTTTCTACGGCCTCGAAATAACCTGCTTAGCCACTGACAAGCTCAACCACACCCTCGCTCCGGTATACAATACCTACGTACGCATCGTATCCGGCCTTCTCCCTTCCACGCCTGCAGACGCCGCATGTGTTGAAATCGGAATCCTCCCTTTCCGTTATCGATCTGCTGCAGCCATTGCTACGAAAGCCGCTGCCCTCGCTGCTAAGACATCCGGGAATGAAAGGGTCTTTCTCCTCAACGAGGGGAACAGAGCCCTCCGCACTGCAACCAACCGTGACCTCCCCCGGTGGCCAGGGTCCACTGGCATGGAGAGAAGAATTGGCGATCAAACGTCGCGTCGTCAAAATAGATAAGCGGATTAAGAGTGGATTCCAAGCCGGAGATAACTCTGTAGCTTTGAGACGTTCTGTTGCAGAGCTTCTCGGGTCGGTTTATCCGGGGCACGTTCATCGTTTTACGGACGGATCGCGATCGCTGGCTGGAGTTGGACTCGAAGTGGCAGGACCGAACACTGCAACGAGTCAAAGTCTACCGGAGGAGTGTTCCGTCTTTTCCGCTGAAGCTGCAGCTATTCCAGACGCAGCCAACACTCCGGCAGATCAACCGATCCTCGTATTAACTGACTCACACAGCGTCATCCAACCGTCTTTACGTGGATCCCCGGACACTGCGGTGTTCCCGGAAACGAGGCTGCGGACAGACTGGCGGGATCTGGTGCATCCCTTCTCCGCTACACCAGGAACGTACCCCTTCTCGACGTCAGGCGTTGGATTGTGAATACCATTATGGAAGCCTGGCAGCGGGAATGGTTCCAGTCGCGGACCACTTTCCTGAGGAAGATCAAGGGAACCGTACGCTCCTGGCCGGACAGCCAAAAGTACAAGGACCAGCAGATCATCTCAAGACTCCGGACTGGCCATGCAAGGATTTCCTGTAATTTCGGTGGGACACCTTCCCGCAAGGTCTGTTCAATCTGCAGCATCCCCGCCTCGGTGGAACACGTGCTGTGTGTCTGCCCGGAGTTCCAGAAGCAACGCAAACAACATGGACTCCCGGAGAACGTCAGTAACCTGCTTGGTTACGACCCCTCGACGTTGGCTACGCTGATCGCCTTTCTGAAAGAAGCCCACTTGTATGACCAAATCTAGCCCCCGTCGGTGGCTGCATTAATCGTGTGTTCCTCACGTTTCTATTTTTTTTTTTGCCGTCGGGGTTTCTCCGCCGGACCGGGCACTGTTTCCTACGGTGAAGCTCTACCTTGTTCGCGCACCCAGTCCTCACCACAGCCCCGATCTAATCCTCACCTTATTTACATTAAGTTTTTAAAATGTTGTCTGTCTCATTCATTGGGTAATCAGAGCCGGTTATACGTCACGTTCATGTCAAATTGAAACCTATTTTTTAGGCAGGATCTAGCCTCAACATGGAGAGAAGTGCAGTAAGTTAGTAGAGCCAAACCTAGGGTCATGAAAAAGAAGGTGAGAAAAGCAGAATGTGATATGAGACAGTACTCGGAAAAATACTCAGTGATAATTTTTCAAATATATTATTTATTTTACATCATTTTGATATTTCAACAGATTGTTCTTCACAAAAAAAATACCTGGAAAATATATCAACTTACACGTCTAAGAAAGTATATCCATTAAATCACATTTGCTTGGTTCTTACTTCGTTTCAGCTGATTTCAGCCGTAGCTTGCTTTGTTCATGTATCCTTACAAACTAGGAGCTTTTTTTTTCTCGGATAAAAACCAAAATTCCTACCAATTGACACTCCATTGCTCGTCGGTTCGTTCCGTCGTTATTCGATTGCTTTTTACAAAACGGAATGCCTACCCTTCGTCAGATTTGTTCTGACTCATCAAAAGGGCGCAAGCATGTACAAATTATCCTTGCACAAAACGTGCGAGAAACCAATCTTGCCGTCATAACCTAACCGCCTTACAGTCTAATCGCGTCTAACTCTAAACTAAATTCTTTAACTCTCCAAACAATTTGGAATACCTCTGGATTTCGTACCAAATTTCTTCGCGTTTTGTTTTGATTTCCGTTGTCTCTAAAACTGTGTACGTTTGTTTGCATATATGCTTGCGTTTGTGTGTGTATGTGTGCATGAGTGGATTCTGCACGACTAACATCACGCTTCACTTCCGTTGACCGCTAAAATTTGATACAAAATTTCTCCTAACTTTGTTCTTCGATTTTTCGTTTAACATTAGTAGTGTCTTGATACTTCCGTCTCTTCCTCTAAGATTACGTTCATAAATACACGGGGGGGGGGGTAAGATTTTGGGAAAAAGCTGAAGAACAAATAATTTAATGTAAAATAGTTACATGGGATAAACAACCTTATTTTCATTGTATTCTAGTGTTTTCTTATTCATCACATTTCGAAGGGCGCTTCGAGGTTTGTTTGTTTTTTGAGAATTTTGTTTTTGATTTGGGGAAGTATCGGAATCACTAACACACGGCACTGTATGTGTCCCCGAATCGGCCCGGGACTCATACAGTCCGTGGGTGTTCTGAGTCGGCTTCCCTACTAGCTAATGGCCAAAACGAGTCCAGTTTGGTTTGTGTTTAATGGCGCACAGAAAACAAAACTAATATAATGAAAATGGGTGACGATGATTTATAAATATATTAGGATTTAATGAATATGTTTGTTTTACGTTCTGGATTTTGGGTAGACAGCGGTACCCCGAAGGCGAACGCTTCCGGCAAGCTTGGGCTGCGAGAGATCCTACCTGGTGTCCCTCCAGTCGGGCCAGGGCGAGCTTTGGCACAGCCCTCAAACTTCCGGTCCGTTCCGTTTCCCACCTGGGTATCCGGTCTTCGCTCTTAACTCTTAACAGCTAAAATATTGCGCCTGGCATGTCGCGCATGACTTCGACAGCTACAAGTGTCTTCCTATTTGCGTCGCCGGAGTGACCATGAGTCCTGTGTAGTTCCTCGGTTATTAGTAAGTAGCAGTTTAACAGTAAGGTAGATGTAGTTAGTACACTAAATTAAAATCACAATCAAGGGGTTTTTTTTGCAGATGCTGCTGAATTCTAGTTCTGCAGCCTGTACTCGGTCCGGTAGGACTTTACGAAGCTGGTGGCCGACGGCGGTGGAGAGGCAGTTTCCGTCGTCGCCGAAGCAGCCGTATGGTGATCGTGGACATCTTCGTGCTGTTTAAGGCTGTCGTAGATTTGCTGGAAGGTTGGCATCTTGTCCTTGCCGATGGTCATCTCTTTGATGTCGTCATCCTTCGGTAGAACCTTATGCTGGGACTCATCGACGGCAGTTCCGTCCGGTCGCAGACGAACCACCATCGGACCGGTCAGGTAGTTGGTGTTCTGCTCGTATGGCGCCAGATTGTCGAAGTGAGTCGAGGCTGCTCCCTGGAACCGTTGGTACAGGTCGTAGTTGGCAGCAGAGCCGGTCAGAGGCAGATAGTTCTGGGGATTGGTGTATTGGAGATCCTGAGCCGTGGCAGCGTTGCTGTAGTCGAAGTCCATTCCGTACTTGTCAATGCCGGAGTCCTGCTTGCGGTTGCTGCTGCCACCGGATTGCTGCTGTGGACTGGGATCATCAAACAGCGGGTTGTGTTCGTACTGGCCGCTGGCGATCTGGACCGGAGCCTTGGTCGTTTGTGGGATCTTCTTTTTGCCGTTCTTGGTATGGCCGTCCATCATGGCGTCCCAAACTGGAAAACAGAACAGATAGAGAGAAAGAATACGAACGTTAGTCCTTGCTTGCTTTGCATTGGTTGTAATTAATCACGCGATCATTCTGTGTGTGTAAGTGGAAAAGTTCGAGGTTACTTCCTGAACTTTTCACTCGAAGAGAGACTTCCTGGTTCGAGAGCATCTTCGATCGACGATCATGGTGATGACCTCTGGGCATGCATGCGAGCAAACACGATTGAGTGAAATTGAGGCGGATAGGATTACGGCGAGCGGACGAGTAGGTCACCTAGCAGGGACCTAGCCGCGAAGATTCGATTGAGATGCTCGGCAAAACAATCGATCTTTCCTCTCGCGGCCGCCTATACAAAAGATCGCACCGCAAAAGGCGGATGAAGGTGCTCGCTCACGCTTATTATCATAAATTAAAGTGCGCCGATGCGAGGGATGATGCTCGGACGAGTACACATTATTGCAGGCAAGATCGAGAACGACGGCGGCGCTCCCTGGGTCGGCAGGGTTGCCAGATTGGTTGTGGAACACTCGTAGCATTGAAAACATTTGCTGCCATTTGAAAGGTTTGGGAAGAATAGGTGAACCCGGCAACCCTATCGGATGCCTCCAAGCCTGTTTCACAGCCGGAGAAAGAGTACAAAAGCAACGGGGGTTAAGCACGCTTCGTTCGGTAAAGGTCGTTTGGTTTTAAAAATAGCCTTAACCGCCGCCAATGCACGCTGATGCCCCCACGAATAGAATATTAAATTATAGCCTCTCCTGCACGGCAACTTAATTCTATACACGTACGTGTGTGTTTGTACGTCTACAATGAAAGCACAAACATTTGTCATGACCCGATCGTGAAGCAATTCAATGAGGATTTCAATGGAACCGAAGCTCTAATGAATGTTCGAATGGGTCACTTCCCCAATCAATCAAAGAATCCCAACACACATCTTCAAAACAACCTGTAGAACTTCCTCAATTGAGGACGTCGTATTGACATTGGCTCCAGCAACAACAACCACAGTAAAACGACGATTCATGCAAAACACTCTCATCCGGAAGCGGCCATCAATACGGCGCGGAATTAAGACGTCAATTAACAAATTTAAAAAAAAAAATCACATCTCAATATACTCACTTATATCGTGAGCACCGCGCTGGTACGGGTCCATCGAATCCAGGTGCGACTCGTTCATGTCCTGCAGCTTGTTGATGCCGTACATCAGGAGGTTTCGTTTGCACATGTTAGTCGGCATGTCCTGCGAACCTTTGCAGTAGTTGGACACCTGTTTGGCAAACATCGAGTACAGGTGTGACATCTGCAAATACAAACAAAAAAGAATGTGAATCAGTGAGGATGTTACGTGCGATGAAAGCGAAAGCGCTTCGTTTATGTAAACATATGTCCGGTGCAAGACGGGGGAAAGTGCAACCTTGACGTACGAGAAGCGCGTGACTTGAGCCAAACGCAAGCGACGAACCCCTCCCCGGTTTCAGTAACTGTGTGTTGAATCATAACTCGCTAGCCGACTTGTTGCTTAATTAGCAAAAGCCAAGGTTACTCAAGGTCTGGCACGAAAGCGAATAAAATATGCCCGCCGTTAAAACGCTTATTCCATTTAGGCTCGCGGCGGTCATTGCATGATAAGGTAAATTTTTAAGCACCATCAACCGGAGGTGGAGGGGTGATGTCTTCATTTCTTGACCACGCGAAAAAAAAAAGAAGACAAGCTCAACTCTCAAGCGGAATTTTTGTTTATCTCCGTTTGCCATCGCGCTCTGTTGACGCTCGTCTGACTGAGCTGTCAGAGGTCAACAGACAAGATTTTGGTGGCGGGTGGACGGCGGGTGATGATGGACACATTCCGGCATCAATTGTTCTTTTTTTTTGCATAAGAAATGTAAATGATGAGGCAAGCTGAGCTGAGTTTCATCATAATTTAATTTAGGAAAAAATGAGGAGTTTTTTGAAGTCGATTGATGCGTTTTGGAAGTGGAAAAAGATTGATGGAGAGTGCAATGATCGATTGCGAATGGTGGTTAAGTGCATGACGGTGTTAAAAACGCAAGCAGGGGTGTAATTGTTTGAGAAATTTCCGATTTGATTTAAAGGAATTCACCAGCAAAATAAGTGCGCTTGATGATCCGTGATTTACACGAAAGTAGATCTCATGGAACAAGGTTCGTCTCACGATCGGCAGATCGATCTAGGAACGAATATTACAACCTCATAAGTTACTCATGCGTTTAGTGTCCTACGATTTTAGAAATTTCTCTATACGAATGAGTAAAAGTTACTCACAACTGAGTAAAAGTGACCCACTGTCTGAGTTGGTTTCGCTTTCATTGGATATTACAAAAGTATAGTGTATTTCCTTTGCTAGAGGTCACTGTTCACCTTCTTTGTATGGCTTGTTCTAATAGGTGTTGAGCTTATGGTCTGCCAAAAAAGTTTCTCGAAGACTGCATATGAATCGAATCTGCCCATGGAAGAGGATACCTGTGTGACTAATGGTCACTGGCGTGCTCAAAAAGAGTTGCAAATAAATCTCAAACTTACCCGGCAATTATCCAGTTCATTTGAGAGCTGTTCTTTGGCCTTTGGGAGGGATTAAATGGATTTACACTGCTTTGATTAGTCTAAGAGTCACCTAAAGTAGATTTGCCACCCATTGCCTCCGACCGCACTCCACACGCGAGATCTAATGGTGACCATAAAATGGTCTGAAACTCAAATCAAGCAAAGGTTGCATAGTCCCGGAATGCGAAGTTGGACCCAACTCTCCGTATGTGAGGAGATAAAGCAGATGAAAGCAGCTACTCAAAAACAGGTCTTGTAAGTACATACCAAAAATCGTTCCTAATAGGCTTCAAAAGCCGAAAATCGCATGTTAATTGTTTCAGAAGACTTCTTAAAGTCACAACAATCGTCTCGAATAAGTTTCAGACACCAAGAACGTTCTTAATAAGTTGTAAAAACCTGGAATCTCAATTGTTGATGGTCGAAAAATCTCACACTAGCGAATCCACGGACAACCTTGCTTCATCCCTTGCATCTTAATCCATCTACTCCCATAGCTATCCACCTTTTTTGCCGAAAATCTTTAAAATCATCATCAATCTTCTTTCTATCTCACAACAGCAAATCAATTTTTCTCCTGCATCTTAGATAGGGTTGCCCCTCGGTAGAAACCGCAACAACAAGTTTCAGAAAACGACTATCGTTCCTGCAGAAATCCAGAATCGTTTCTTATAAGTTTAAATAGGAAACCGAAAAACCATTTCTAAATTCCTAATAAGTTTAAGAAGACGAAAACCGACTGCGAAAAAATTTGATTTGAAATTGAACAGATATTGTGGCAAGAAAAAGATAGCTCTATTGTCTGTGGTCATGATCGAACTACTGATAACCATAAAATCAACGCTTTGGTCTCATTTATCTCAAATGAATTCCAATTATTTTGTAGAAACAATTCTATGAACAAGATTGTTTATGGTTGCACAAGAAATCTGGTTTGATTTGAGGGTGCTTTTTCCCTTTGAATGAAATATCAATGGATTCGGGATACTTTGAAAAAATTATCGATTATGCCACCAGAGGTCACTCTCTGCAAACTACGACTGATTTGGTTGCACAGGTTTGTAAATCATGTCTTTTTGATCAACTTCGCCCAAGACTGCGAAAAAAATCGATATGAATTTGATCCGATATTGCGATTACATGGTTTCATGGTTGCAAATCTTGACAGGACCATCGATTTTTTCTCTCATGGTTCGTCTTGTCTCCGTATGAAATGATTGTTGCTTGAATTTAAGCCATGCTTTCAGAGGACTTAATCATCACAAATCCAGCTTCATGCTAGATGATTTCCATTAGCTAAATTTTGTTTCAAAACAAAACTGAGCTTATTAAAATAATAGTTTTGGAAATTCGATGTAAGTCTAATCACGGAAGCTTCAAATCACCCAACACTCAACCTCGAGCTCGTCATTTCAGTTGAAATATTCTCCCTCTCTGCAACAAAACAACAATAACACATTTTTCAAAAAATCTTCTTCTAATCACGATCTCAACTGACTATGCGAGAAACTTCTAAACAATAAAGTGCCCCTTCCTTCTTCAAAAGAGTACGTGACTTTGCATCAACAGACAAGCATGCAGGCACACATCACCATTCAATGTTTATATTATATTATAAATAAATATTTTATTTATCAAAACCCCCACAAGCGGCGCCACTTGAGAACAAAGAGAATTCCCCTCAGCCAGTCACAACGACCCTTCTCTAATGTTGGTACCGGTGCATCATCATGACCCCTGCCACCACGATCAGCCAAGAAAATCCCACTCCACGGGATGAAGTCACCACGTTGTCACCCTTTTCTCACGGTCACGGTCACTTCCAAACCGTCCAAAAAAAATGTCCCAAGTCACCGTCGTTGATTAATCTCCGCAGCAGCCACAGCCACACGGCCGATTAAACCAACTCAAATTTGAGTATCATTCACTCAAATTCGCTCAAAACGTATGATACTCTCATAGACTGAGTAAAATTTTCTTCGATTGTTTAGGAAAAGATTTTCGGGAATGAGGAAATTCCAGACTCCTAGACTGAGTAAAATTTCCGTCGATTTTCATCATATTCGAGGAAAAGTCAGTCAATGAATGATCAACGTTTTTGCGATTTTGAGTGAAAAAACACTCGCTTTTGTGTCGATCTTATCTGCCGTGCCGCACCCGAACACCTTCGCAGTCCTATATTACAACTTCGAGACGGTGACGGTGATGTAATTTGTGAACAAAAAAATCCCACATCGATACACACAGAGCTAATTATTATAGCAGATTCAATTGATTCAATGGGCGGGCAGCTGAAGCTGGAGCGTCACGATCGTCTATTGATCGATCTCTTGCTCTCCCTTCGATCCCCCCCGCTAGATGAGGAAGTACACGATCTCGTCGCATCGTAGGCAGGTAGAACCGGTAGAGATTCCAATCAACTTTGTACCTACAGTAAATGCTTGGATCCCAAGCCCATCCCAAGCGCTGCTGATCGATCTAGAAGAGGTCAAACACGAATAGGGGTTGCCCCCGCTGCCCGTCGCCGCCGATCGCTGCCTCGCTGCGCCATTAGCATACCTTCCTAGAGACGCTAAGCTCATGTTTTATGCATCGTCGTCGCGAGGCAAGGCAGCTGTAAGAGACAGAGACAGAGAGAGAGAGAGAAAGATTCACCGATTGCGATAACCTTGGATGACCTTGGACGGGAGAGAAGGCAGCCGCGCGACGAGACCGTTCTGAAGATCCGCCTCGAAGAAGGCCCCCGAGGCAATTCTCGTCCCACTCTGTCGTCTGTGTCATGACAGGTTTGCGCGAATTTCTTTTTTTTTTCTTTCGCTTTTTTGTGTTCTTCCCCGCAATTCAGTCTCGTTTCTCTTCGAAACCAGAATCCGTTCCGGGACGACAGAGTGGCGCTGAATAAAATTAGCCATTTTATTGGATCGGACGGCAAGTGGAGTGGTTTGACGGGAAGCGGAGGAATGACCCTGAATTTGAAATTTTGGCAAGGTGGAATTTGCGTCCAATTGTAGACCAAAATTTGATTGTAGATTGCGAAGAAAGGCTTCTAGGGAGTGCGTTCCTATTTGAAACGTCAATGGGCAGATAAATTTTGCAGGAATGTGTCTACAAATGAGCAAATAAGCCTAACAATTCGAGCCAAAGCGTGGAAATAATGTCAACCAAATCAAATTTGCAACTTTTTTTAACGTAACAAATCACTGGATTATAGATTTGTCTTGAAGAACTAGTTTGCCGAAGACTGCCAAATAATACGATTTGAATTGAATGAGGTAAAGCAAGCTAATCGGGATACCTCTGTGATGTATGATTCTCTCTCTGTATGATTCTCTTATAAATCTAAATTTGAAATCATTATTTCATTGCCACCAATTTGGAGAAACCATTTGGAAGTTTTCAAGTTCAAGCGAAATCGATACGACTCTGAAGAGACATTTCGAATTCCAATTGAGAAAATGGGATTCGAAAGATGGTATTTCCATTATTTTTTTTACCACCAGAGGTCACTATAAGCAACTTTTGCATGCATTGTTGCCATATGTTTTCAGATCATGTCCCGATGGACAACTTTGCTGAAGACTGCTCCGGAATTCGAATTGAATTTGAAGGGACAATGCGAATAGATTGTTATACCTCTGTGGCTTATGATGATGATTATTTTTACTTAAGATCAATGCCAAGCGATTTTGCTTCGCCCCCGAAAGTGATCACTTTTTGGCACTTTAAATCAATGCAATTATCAGCAATTTGTAGAGGATGTTCTAACGAGAAAGTATCCTAAAGATTGTTTGTGAATCCGATGCGATTCGGTTAAGGTATACAGTGGCGTTAGATCAATTGAGAAAATTTGAATCAGAAGATGGTATTGCCATCTTTTTCCACCTGAGGTCACCGTTCGCACTTTGTCTAAGTTAAATCACCACAAGTTTTTAGATCAGGTTCTGCTAAACCAATTCGCAGAAGACTGCTACGCAATCCGAATTGGATTTGAAGAAATAATGCGAATAGTTTGTGATACCGCTGCGACTTATGATGATCATAATTCAAAGAGCCTAGCAATTCAACTACTCTCCAACAAGAAACCACTGTTGATGAATAAGTTTTCAAACACCTCCAAGTGAATCCGATAAGAATCATGTAAGATATCCCGGAGCCAAGTGTTTCACCAATTTAAGAAATTTTATTCGAATGATGGTATTGCCATCTTTGACCACCAGAGGTCACTGTTAGTCCTTCTCGTACGTTTCATCACCATAGGTTTTCAGATCATGTCCTGTTGCACAAGTTTGCTGAAGACTGCCACGGAATTCGATCCGGATTTGAAGAGATAATACGAATAGTTTGTGATACCTCTGATGATGAGCATACTTTTAACGAAAATTGGTGACAAGCAATTCCACTGCTCTCCAACAAATGACCACTTTTCAGCATCTGTCACCCCAGTTGAGGTTATCAATATTGGTAGAAAACATTCTGCTGAACAAGTTTTCAAAAAGGCGCCAAGTGATTGCGATACGAATCAGGGGAGATATCGCGTAGCCAAGCGTCTGATCAATTGAGGAAATTTGAATAGGAAGTTGGTATTGCCATGTTTTACCGCTAGAGGTCACTATTAGAAGTTTTCGTTTGTTTCATCGCCATAGGTTTTCATATCTTGTCCTGCAGAACAACTTTGCCCAGGACTGCTTGAAAATTCGATTCGAATTCGACGTAATTTCATTCATTCGATCATAATTTTTAACTAAGATTAGTGTCAACTGATTTCACTGGTTCTCAGCTAAGAGATCACTTTTTTTTGATCATTTTGGTGATGTTGATTTGTAGGAAATATTCTGCTGACAAAGTTTGAAAAAGATTCCAAGTGAATCCGATACGAATCAGGGGAAACATCGCGTTGCCAAACGTCTGATAAATTAAGGAAATTTGAATAGAAAGTTGGTATTGCCATGTTTTACCACTAGAGGTCACTGTTAGTACTTCTCTTTAGTTTAATCATCATAGGTTTTCAGTTCTTGTCTGACACAACATCCTTGTCAAAGACTGTAAGAGAATTCGATTCGAATTTGAAGAAATATGGCAAGCAGTTAGAGATACCTCTGTAGTTTATGATGATCATAATTGCTACGAAGATTAATGCCAACTGATTCCAATGGTTTTCAGTAAACAGGTCAATTTTTAGGATCATTTACTCAAATTCTGATAAAACATATAGGAAACATTCTGCAAAACAAGTTTCCAAAAGATTCTTAGTGAATAAGGAGAGATATATCGTAGCCAAGCATCTGATCAATTAAGAAAATTAGAATCAGGATATGGTAATGCCATCTTTTACCACCAGAGGTCACTGTTAGCAATTTGCGTACGTTTAATTGCCATAGGTTTTCAGATTATGTTCTACTGAAGAACTTTGCCGAAGACTGCTAGAGAATTCTATTCCAATTTGAAGTTTGTGGCTTATGATGAGCATATTTTTTACGAAGATTAGTGCCAACCGATTCCACTGCTCATGCTCCCCAGCAAGATATGACTTATAAGCATCTGTCTCTCAAAATCTGGTGATACCGATTTGTACAAAACAACAACAATGCTGAACAATTTTTCAAAAGACTCTAAGTGAATCCGATACGAATGAGGAGAGATATCGCGTTGCCAAACATCCGATCAATTGAGGAAAGCGGAATCAGAAATGGTATTGCCATCTATCGCCACCAGAGGACACTGTTTGCACTGCTCTTTCGTTCAATCACGATAGGTTTTCAGATATTGTCCTGCAGAACAACTTTGCTAAAGACTGCAAGAGAATTCGATTAGAATTTTAAGAGATATGGCAAACTGTTTGAGATACCTCTGTGGCTTATGATGATCATATTTTTGACGAAGATTAGTGCCAAACGATTTGTTTTCATCAGACTGCAAGTGGATCCGAAACGGATCAGCAGAGATAACTCGTAGCCAAGTATCAGATCAGTAGAGATAATCGATGGTATTTCCATCTTTTACTACCAGAGGTTTTCAAATTATGTTCTGGTTAACAACTTTGTCCAGTACTGAAAAGGAATTTGATGAGCCAGAAGAAGATACCTTGAAGAGTTCATTTCTTCTTAAAATTAGTGCACATTTCTATGTTGAGCTCAATGTTAAAATAATCAAATCAACCGCAGATAAATCGAGTAGTAAACTTAAACTTAACCTCAATTTCAAACACTTTTGTCTTAAAGTACCAGGCTGATTAACTACTTGTCGTTTTATGTGGCCTTGAGATAGGTCATGAAAAACTGCATAAGGGGTCATCGAAATTTTAGTGAGTTTTAAGGATCCAAATCCATCCTAAGTTTGAAGCTACACAGACAAAAATTCTGAATATTACTGGCGATATGATCCATACCTGTAAACGTTTGTTTTTCTCATCACGCAAACTACCAACTTGCAAGAAATATTGTCTCATAGACGACTTTCCGTAAACTCTCAGTCACATAACACAGAATGGCAAGCGTTCAAAACGAAAACTACTCCACAGAACTTTTAAAATAAGCGCAAAAGTCCTATGAGCCTACTTGGAAGCCGTTGGAGGCGAACCAGCCCAAGGCTGAAAGCCTCCTTAATAAAGCTAAATAATAATAATAATAATACTTGGAAGTACTCAAGAAGTTACTTAACTGGGCTTGCTGTTATAGGAAAATTCACGTAACTTGAGGGCATGGCACAACCTATTGAAAGTGCTCTGAACCCTCTTGTATTTGAGGCTTACTCCATCCCTTCAAATTTCTTGGGCACTCACATTTGAATGAAATGATTTGAACGAATAAAATTAGTCGCATGGCCTATCGTTTTAAGGTCAACGTGACTAAATTTCAAAAATAGACATCACTTCAGAATGGAAAAACTCTCGCCGTTTTGAGCGAAATATTAAAAGGAAATCATCGATTAGAGCTTTTTGCAATCAGAAGTGATGTCTCAGAGAAAACCATTTTTGAAATTTCGATTTACTCACTAGGTCACTTTCACCTTACGAGTAGTACCATCCAATACAATTGGATTATTGTCATTGTAATTTTCTCAGCCGTTAAAGAATTTGAAAGCTCCTGCAAGGAACACAAATATTTAACTAACAATGACATTGCTCGAACTTACATCATTAGAATACATTGAGAAAGGTCACAAGGTTTAGCAAATAATCTGAACCCGAATTATATGGTCTATCTGTCACACAGTACGGGACAGGGGAGTTCAACACGTGGACCATGTATCACAATACAAAAGAAGATTTGCACTCTCATGGTTTTCCAAACAAACATTCAACCCTAAAAGGAACGGGGAAAGCACTCGACCTCTATCCACGAAATATCCGTTAAAATTGTTTTGATCGAGTGTTCCGATGTGATAGTCCAAGTCCGTAGAGCTAAGAGAGCCTAAAGAGCTCCACTTGTCCTAATTTGATGCTCCACTTAAGCTGTAGAGCAACCTTACACTAGTTTAAGACGCTGTTTTTAATCCTTGAAAGTACTTTCAGGCACATTTCCTAGAACTGATAAGACTAATCAACTAGTGCGCGAAGTAGCGGTCATTCCTAGGTCTTGAAAAAGTATTCCCCACAACATGTAACACAGCAGAACTTCATAAAAAAACAACTCTATTCAAATCCCCCTCACCCACTCGACCTTCAGAAACTTTACTGCCGTTTGATAAAGTTGTAAAAACTCCCCCCTCAAGCAATAAATTATTGATCTCTCCACCATCCACAACAAAGTATCGCCTTCCCCAAGCTGCTGCCTGATAGACTGTCAGCTCCACAACCCGACGAGATAACCCGTTGCACTTTTCAACGCTCGCTCGCTCGCTCTCGGGTGCAAGATTTACATGAACAGATAACCCTCCGTTTTCGAAGAAGCCGCCTCTCGCTCAATGCATCATGCAATTATCATCCGAGCAAACGCACAGCTGTTACGTCCGCGGAGCACAATTTCCCGGAATCCCGCATTCGAACATCCACAACCCACGTCACTGGACGGAAACCTACCTTTTCACCCCGACTCAGGAATTCCCACATGGGGATTGCGGAACCGGAACACTGCGACGCCAGCATCAGGGTCATCGCCATCAGGGCCAATATAAGCGGCATTCTTCTTCCACGAGCCATTTTCACCTAGCTCTCGTTGGTTCACCAATCACTTCCTTTCTCGTACTTCCTCCGAAACGCTCCAATTAAGAACGTTCACTCTCTTTTCCACCGTAACAATTTTCCGGGCCCACTTTGCAATGTTGTTTATGTTTTTTTTTTGCTTTCTTCGCACTCACTTGTTTTCCTCACCCAGCGGACTTTCAACTCAAATTACCCACTCACTTGCAACACTTCCCGCTCGGCGTTAATTACTTCTCCCCCGTCCTTGTCGCTTTCAAGATCACACACTTTCTGAATAAAAAAAAAACCTTCCGATCTTGCACTTTGCTATTTTCTTGCGTTAGAAATCTTTCAATTCACTGGCTTTTGGCTCTCGTCGCTTTTCAATACTCTGTGTTTTCCAACTTTCAGAACCGTGTCAAGTCTGCTCGAGGTATCGTGTACGAATAAACAGTGCCGCCCGATTGGGTTTCACCTTATATACGGCGGTCGACTTCGGCTACCATGACGTCATGGGCGCCGCCGCCGACGACCGACTGGACGCGATCGGCGACGCCACGATCGTTGGTTGTTTACCTCAGCTCCGCTCGCGAAACCGCGAAATTCTTTCGCGATCGCGATCGCATTTTTGCAGGGCTTCGCTGATGCGCTGATGTTGGTTCTTTCTTTTGGCGCTTCTGGACACCGCGACGAAATTTGTTTACGTTTTCGCGAGCCATGTCACCAACGATCGCGACGGTCGGGCGTTTGGTGGCGGGCGGCGGTGGCGGCGGCAGGTCGATCGTGCGTAATTGTATCGTTCAGAAGGGGCAGAGCATGGCGTCGCGAGCATAAGCGCCTAATTTATGAAGCGATCACGGATGTCGTGTGCAGGAGGGGTGGTGGCGACGGCGGTCCTGTGCCGGTTGCACACTGCTCCGTTGATTGGGGAGAGAGAATTTTGTTTTTATCGGTTTGATTTGGTGTGGCGCCGTGGGGTGGAAATTTTTCCAGATCATTTAGTGGTGTTTTTGTCTCAAAAGGTGGGTATTTCCCGGAATTTCGTTGTGCGATATTTGTTGTGTTGGATAACGACTTGGATGAGCAACACATTAGAAATGGTGTTTTTATCAAATTCGATACTTTTGAGTCACCAAAGGCTAGCGTAAGCCAAAAGAATGTGATGTCAGCGTATAAGAAAAACCTAATGATGTTATGATGGATATAAGTTGTTGGTATTGTCGCTTGACGCAGTGAAATTTATTGAAACTCTTTAATTTCAAAGTTACATGGCCAACAGACACATCATCGATCGTCTTATGATAAACCATGGATTTTTATGATGCGGTTGTTGGAGAATTCCCACATCGTGATTCTTGCGCTTATGTGCTCCAAGCTAAGACTCGAACAGCCGTGAATAGTATTGAGGTAGGGTTTTTGATATAATTTCCGTGCTACTAAGCAAAACCCGCGCTCCACACTTCAAAATATATTTACCTTTCCATACATACCATCGAATTTGATAAAAAGTCAAAGATCATCCTACGAGTTTCAATTCCATCCTAACGCATTGAATCGCCATTGGATTTTCTTCGACATACGGAGGAAGGCATGAAAAGGGGATTCGTTATGCAGCCATTCCATAGCAAAACGATATAGTGGTTCACAGAATTTCGTAAAAATGTGTAGTTTATAAAAAAACAAAATATTAGACCCATATTTTTTTTGTCATGAGAGTGACTATTTTCATGTTAGGGTGGTCCAAAAAATCGATTTTTTTTTCAAAACTTACATCATTAGAATACATTGAGAAAGGTCACATGGTTTAGCAAATAAACTGAACCCGAATTATATGGTCTATCTAACACACAGTACGAGACAGGGGAGTTCAACACGGGGACCATGTATCACCTTGAAAATAAACAATACAAAAGAAGATTTACACTCTATGGTTTTCCAAGCAAACCTTCAACCCTAAAAGGAACGGGGAAAGCACTCGCCCTCTATCCACGAAAGATCTGTTAAAATTGTTTTGATCGAGTGTTCCGATGTGATGGTCCAATTCCGTAGAACTAAGACAGCCTAAAAAGCTCCACTTGTGTTAATTTGATGCTCCACTTTAACTGTAGGACAACCTTACACTAATTTAAGACGCTTTTTTAATCCTTGAAAGTACTTTCAGGCACATTTCCTAGAACTGATAAGACTAATCAACTAGTGCGCGAAGTAGCGGTCATTCCTAGGTCTTGAAAAAGTATTCCCCACTACATGTTACACAGCAGAACTTCATAAAAAAAGCAACTCTATTCAAATCCCCCTCAGAAACCTTACTGCCGTTTGATAAAGCTGTAAAAACTCCCCCTTCAACCGAAAGCAAAATGTGTAGTTTTGTTCCTTATCGCAAAATATTAGACCCATATTTTTTTTTGTCATGAGAGTGACTATTTTCATGTTATGGTGGTCCAAAAAATCGATTTTTTTTTTCAAAAAATGACTTTCTTCACAAACTCATAACCAGTGTTGCCTAAATCATCAATCAAATGACATTTTTCCGCTCTCATACGCTCCCAATATCATTCGTGATATTGGAACAAAATATCATGTTTGATATTGATTTCACAAGCTCCTTTGATATTGCAAAACAATGCACAACGTGCAAAAATCAAGCTGAAAGTTGACTCGATACAAAAACGACTCCGTTGCACATCGCCTGCTATCCAAGGGGTATTCAACTCTGCACACTGTGCCGAAACACATCGTGGCACACTGATCGGCACGTCATGACACACGATGACAAATATGACACAAAATATAATATAAAACGGCATCACTGTTTTGCGTTAAAATTTTACCAATCGTTGCTAAGGTTTACTACTTTGTTTTTAAGCAAGGGAGAAAGGGACATTTTGTTGACAGTGTCATTGCTATTTTGTTGTCGATTTTCCAGCGAAATGGTCATCAATAATAATAAGATATTGTATAATTGACGAGACACTCCATGTCCTTATGCCTTTTTGCGGAATGAACCTCTACAGAAAGTTTACCCGGCTTTTGAGAGATGTTCATTACACTGATGCAAAATTTGACTTTTTCGCTCCACAGTGCTTAAATGGTTTCAAATCGGGTCCTAATTAGCTTCCCAAAGTTACAACTCATTTGGTTAGAAACAGACTGCGCACAAGCCATTTGAAGTTTATGTACATGTTAATTACTATGGAAAATCTCAACTTTTTGTTCATTGCCTTCTAGTATTTTTCCTGGTTGAGCTGCGAAACAGTTCGATAGTTTTTCTTATAGGAAATGTTCTCAGCTACAACTTTGCTGAAGATCGTTTCTATGTAAAATGAGACAGGAAAAAGTTATTAATTATTTAAGAGATTGATAAACTTATGACATGATCAAGCAACTGCTCTGTAGGCAACACTGTATTTTGCAGTGTGACATAGTAGCCATGACTTTTGTGTCCTATTCAACGCCCCAGAAACACCAATGTTGCCTGCTGATCAGTTGATTGAGCATGATCATAAGACATCAGCGCATTGAACCATTGATTACTTTCGATCCTTGCATTTAATCAAAAAGTGGTCTTCAGCAAAGTTGTAGCGGGGAAAATTTCCCTTAAGTACAGTTGAAAGCTTTTGCAGCAGACCGATATGGTGAATTATTAGATAGACATGAACAAAAATCTTGGTTTTACCATAGTAATTCCCATACAAACTTCAAATGGTTTGTGCCATCTCAGTTTCTCACCAAATGGGTTCAAATTTTGAGAGGTTAGTCAGGATCCAATTAAGAATCGTTTAAGTATTGTGGAGCGAAAATTTCAAATTTTGCATCACTTTAATGTGCATAGTTTCGAAAGAATGTTTCATTTTGAGGAATGTACGATATTAACAACAGCCCGGTGCCAAACGATCCTGCCGAACGATGGCTGTGCTCATTTGATACTGGGTGTTCGTTTCACTGACGACAACAGCTATAATAATAAAGATGCTGCTAACAGAATTGTAAAATTAGGCTATGGAGACAATCTGATTCACGGTATTATTGAACGCAATTGCAACCGCCAGCAGATTCAGGGAGACTAATATGCGATTCCGGCATGACTAAGAAAGGATATGAAATATGAAGGAACAACAAGCAGCTACAAGAAGGTGGTCGTCATCAAACGACTGTACCAGTAAGATCTTGGACGTCGGTCTGTGTTTGGATGCTGTTGGAAATTATTCGATTGAAGATGTGGATAAACTTATAAAAAGTAAAAAGTTGAGAGCCTATCATCGTGGCTCTCAACTTTTTACTAAAGAAAGGGAGGTATCCGATTTTTTTTTCGTAAATGACTAACCTCAGCGGTTTCATGAGTCTCCTGTTCAAAAGTTTTAGACCATGGACGAAGTAGTTTTGCTCAACCATAAAAAGGTGAGGCCTGTTCAGACGAATTCAGTACCCAACCACGAATACTGACACTGGGAAGCTACTGCAGTCTACTATCGCCGGTATTCTAGATCGAGTCCTTCCTTCCTGTTTTTTTAGACTGTATCATTTCCCGAGTAGCAGGATGACAATGCATAGAATCTTCCACTCAGCGGTGATGCATTTTCCAGTTGCCGGTTGGGTACTTGGTTTCGGCAAACGTCTGCCAGAACGACGAACGGTTCATAACTTTCTTCTACTGCTGCAGCTTCTGTCATCAGTCAAACTTCTCTTTCTCACGGAGGGGCTGCATTTCGAGTGTCACTTCCTTGAAGTGGCAACAAGTTATTTTATCAAGAAATTTATCTTGAAATTTATTCTGTTTTTCATATGCGAGAACTTGAAACTGTAAACAAATAAATCTCAAAAGCCATATCTGCAGGGATGCCAAACTCAAGGGATACTGAGACTGATACCTTGATTACCATGCTTCGGTACGTTCGGCACAGCGCTTGACCCAGCTTTCGGCCTTTTTGTCCACCTAAAATATTCATAAGTATAACAAGCAATCAAGAGTTAATGAACAATCAACAACGCATCCTATTACACTAGCAACCCCGCAATCTGATGCTATCATAATTTTCAGCAATGTCAGGAATGCTCACGAACCCCTTACATTTGCCAGAAAACTTACTACTAACTCAAGGTATCTTTCAAATAAGCTTCAAAATTGCATTTTTTTTTTATCAAATGTTAAATTCAGTCCTCTATATCCGTAATACGCGTGTGAGGC